AGAAAGAAAGAAAGAAAGAAAGAGAAATGCTGATCTACAACATCCATTGCTATAAAAGATTAGAAATACTAGAATATTCCCATTCATAATAACACCATTTTGACGGTGTTTTACCACAATCAATGTGCAGTGTGTTTTGTTATTTTTCATACAAAGAACTGAGGAGGAAAGGGAACCCAAGGCTGCCAGGAAGGTAACCGAGAGCGGGCAGGCTCTGCAGGGGTTAAATACTGATAGCTGCAGGGGATGCCCCCCTGTGTCTCTTCTTACCTTCGCTCATGGGCCATGAGAATGTTAGGTTAAAATTCTCGAGGGAAGCCCCGATGGAATTGATGGCCAGAACCGTAACAGTGTGCGCCTGCTCCATCCACAGGAAAGTGAGCTGGGTCTGATTGCCCGCATCTTCTGACCATGTTCCGTTGTGGGAAGTCCAGTGCTTCACCACGTATCTCCTCACACTGCACAGAGAGTCATTTTTCATCAGAGGCTGTAGAAGACACGATCGTGGATTAATTTAAGGCCACAGTGCAAGCTCCTGGGCTCACTACACATTTCCCATTGGGAAGCAGAGGTCAAGGGAGGCCAGGCACTGTCTGTGTGGACACTAGGGGTGGTAAAGAGGGCAGGCCGGAGGCTGCCTGGGACGGATCAGTCTCCATGAAGGACAGGGGCAGTTGTGGAACAGAGCAACCTTAGTTTCCCCTGTTGGGGTTTGTTTCTTGAGCCATAAAGAACAAAGTAAGAACAACTGTATCCCCGGAAGGAAACAAAATAAGCTTACAATTAGGACACTTTACTACCAGGAACTTGCACTCTAACTTTGAAGAAACAAAGACTGACGAGGAGTAGAATTTCCTCATCTAAAAAGCAATCAGGGCCTGACCCTCAGATTCCATAACATAAAAAGAAAGAGGAGAGGAGAAGAGCTTCACCCTGGCACCTCCCAGCTTGTGAGGAGAGTTTGTTGTGGGCCTGAGAGAGAGTGGTTGCACCCAGGGTCAGAGGGCAGCTGCTACAGCTGTGAGATGATAAATAAGAACAAGAAAAGCTACATCGACTGAATTCTTCTCTTGGCTTGCCCTAACCCCATCTACGTCCCTCACATAAAAACTGTCAGGTCTTTGGAGCCAGTGTCCACAGAGATAAAACAAAGCAAAAGAAAGGATCCTATTGGGCAAGATGGCTAGACAAAACTTTTCTTCCCAGTACTGGGGTGGAGCCCAGGGCCTTGACACTGATCTACATCCCCAGCCCTTTCTTACTTTTTGAGGCAGGGTCTTGCTAAGTTGCTGAATTGCTCAGACTGAGCTCAAACTTATGATCTCTCTGCCTCAGCCTCCCAGAGCGCTAGGATTAGGGCGTGCACCACCGTGCCCAACAAGATGGCCGTGTGTCACTTAGCAGAGCCTCTTCCCTCAAGGAGCCCCCCTCCCTACTCCATCTCTCGGAGTGCAGACACTGAGCTCCCTGGGAGACAGAGATCTGAAAGGTACCTGGAATATAGTAAGTGCTTCATAAATGTCAGTGGCGGTTGTTAACATTAACATTGCATTAGAAATGCTGAAAAGAAAAACTGCTTAGAAATCATACTGTTTGTTAACTGCTTAAAACCGTATAGTAACTGGATTTACAAACTAAAAGTACATAAACTCTTTTATACCCCAGTTTTACACAGGGGTTAGATTTAGATCGGGAAATTATTTTCAAGTATGTGTTAATTCACTTTTGGGTACTACTAAGAGTGAATTTCACATTAAAATTCAAGGTGACAAATACTCTTTTACTTCATGTGTTCTATTCCCAAATCAGTCTCAGATTTGGTGCTTACTGATCAAACGGTCTACTCACTTGGGATAGAAATCAACTCCTTAGGGAGGAAGAATACTCTCAAACTCCTAGGTTGAATATATTTAAGGAAATACCCATGATTTATAAGCCGTCCTATAGACAGAAATGTCTCTTGTGTTTAGGTGCTCTTGGGCTGTGAGGGCAAGGTGCATTTATGTTCTTCGGGATTAATACGAATAAAGTTGGGACCCTGAGGAACACTAAGTATCATCTGACCCAATTGATTTGTCCAGACGAAGAAAATGAGCCTCGAAAAGTCTCAGTGATTTTGCCAAAATACAGGTGACATCATCCTACCAGAGCACCAGACTAGGCCAGGAAGAGAACTAGGGGCTCCTAACACCGGGCCAGTGCCCAGCCACCAGACATCTTGGTTCTGCAATCCCAAATCAAAACTGAACGGAAGCACAGCACTGCAGATTGTTCCGGGAGATTGACGATAATGACAAGATTAGGAATGATGACCTTAAGATGATTTTAAGAGGATTAAAGTAGAAAGAACAGCATAAAAACAGGCATACCCGGGGCTGGGGATTTAGCTCAGCGGCACAGCGCCTGCCTGGCAAGCACAAGGTCATGTGTTCAATTCCCGGTACCAGAAAAAAAAAAAGGCATACCCTCCAGAGCAAGGTGATATTTCTCTCCCTCTTAGTAACATCACCATTAATTCGTCTCCAAAATTCAGGTCCTCTCACAGGAACTGCAAAATAACAAAAAGCCCACGCTGTAGAAGTGGATTTGGAAGCAGTATTTTTCAGTCAGATCTGAAGCACACGCTTATGCACTTTAAAGACACATTTACAAAATGCTTGCAGACCTTTGACATCTGTGACTGCTGTGTAGGCAGGGCTGCTCCAGTTACTCCAATACCCCATTCCATCCAGCCTCCTGCAGCGCATCTGCACAGCGTACACTGCACACAGGTCCTGCACGGGGACGCTGGCAGACTTGGACTTCGCATCATCTACCTCATGCTTCTGTAAAATACGGCAAAGCGCTAGGTTAATCACAATTACACATCTGCCTGAAAGGACGCAAGTGCATTTTATTTTAAACTTCAACAACTCCCAAAATAAGAGAGAACTGATCCTGTGCTGTCTGGCTTTAGAAAAAGTCACAGTAATCATCTGAGATGGTCAGCACCTTCAAGTCTGGGATTTCTCCATGATTCTGGATACTGCTGATGGAAAGACTTCAGACTGGTTCACCTGGAGCTTCATTTCCCAGGCACTCTCTTACCCTGTTACTAACCCTGTCTCCTAACCCCCTATCCACAAAGACTTTTGAGACTGTAACTTAGCAGTTAGACAGGGCCTCTACAGAAACTCAGTGACAGTCAATTTCCCTCATTAAACAGGTAAACTCTCACATTCTTTTATTTATTTGTTTATTTGTTTGTTTATGTATTAATTTATTTATAAGTGGTGTTGTGGATCAAACCCAGAGGAACTCTTACACTGAGCTACACCCACTTCTCTTTTTACTTTGAGACAGGGTCTTGCTTTGTCACCTAATTTGCCCTTAAACTTGCAACCCTCCTGCCTCGGCCTCTGGAGTAGCATCATCATACCCAACTTCATGCTCATCTTAACTGCAATCACTGTGATCTAATGACATAATTCGAGTTCCTGGCCGTGCTAGGTCTTTTCAGGCTGCTGTCATAAAACCGACACATAAAGCCATCGTGTGCATATTTGCCACTACAGATATGATTCTGGTTCTCAAGTAAAATAGCTTCTTTCAAAATGCATTCCACTGAACACACATGTACTCAAGGACATTAATAGATGTCAAAAGGAAAAGAATTCCTTGCATAAATGAGTTTGGGAAACATGGGGTGAGATGATGAAGTCACAAATGTTTCTTAGGTAGGATCTCCTCAAACCTTTACTATGTAGTACACTGCAGTTCCTATTGGAAGGTACAGTGGTGCAGGTTTCCTAAAGGCTCTTAGCCACACAGTCTTTCCACGAGGGACATCTTATGAGGCTGGTGTTCTTAAAGCGTTGTGTTGGGAAACAGTGGATCAAGAAATTTTGTTCTTAAAAGATTTTGATGACTCAAATTAATGAAAATAGACACAGAATATAGTAGGATATATGTGGTGCAAATAAGAGCAGCCTGGTGTGCATAAAACCCTTACACATGATGAGAAAGAGCATTGTGTGAGGCGAAGTAAGGGAACGTTAAGTACAGGTACCTTCCACTGGATTTCCTTTCCGCTTAAGCCATAGCGAATCTGGAACTGGAGCTTGTTTTCTGGAAAGACCGGCTTTTCCCAAGATATTTTCAATAATCCAATATTTGCAGTAATTTCTGCTTTCACACTGGATGGAGGCAGTGGTTTCACTAGAAATTTTTAAAGTGGTGTTATGCAATTGTCATTGAAAGCAATGTTTAATTAGGTTTCATCTCACATTAATAAAACAACATGCTTTTCGAAAGTTTCTCATTCGTTACCTCATCTGATCCCCTATAACTCTGCATGATATATAAGAAAGGGAATATCTCTATTATGCAAATAAAGAGAATGAAAAAAGCACCAGATTATCCACATTACTTTGCAGACTGATACAAACACCCAAAGAGAAATTGACTGGCCATGAAAAAGGTGCCACACCAAACAAAATAAATAGCAAGAGCAAACTTGGTCGTGTATGGAGCCCTCATCTGAGGCAAAAAAATCACACCCTGCACCAGTTTCAAATTGCATGCATTTCAGATTCTTCTTCTTCTGTTATTAATTATTTCTATGCTAAGGGAAAGGTCAGAAGTAGTTTCTCAGAGAAAAACTGGTTTTCTATAGGCTGAGGAAAACAGGCTTTCAGTAAGAGTCAAAGGTGACCTGAACAGCAAGTGACTTTTTAAACAACAGCTCTTAAAAGTATAAATTGATAAGCAAGATAGATGGAAAGATATAATGCCCCAAAAACCATAGAAATCCCAAGGAAAAAGCTATCTTGTGTTCTTTTCACTTTTCATATTGCTGTTCCCAGTGCTACAGTAAAAATTTGAGCGGAGGCACACACCCACCGCACACACCTCCTAGGGTTATTAGTCATCAATTTCAGGGCCCCTCTGCCTGACGACAAAGGACGACATGGAAACCTGACATATTGGAAACAAAAGCCCGGAAGCCCTAGCACAACACCGAGCCTCCGGAGCGCCAGGCCCATGATTCCAAGCGTCACCTTTGAGAGGTTGGGTGTGCTTCCGAGTGTGTACCAAGAGCGAGAATTCCATGCAGAGGGCACAGGCTTAGTTGGTATGCCACAACACTTGTTAAAATGTGCAAGTACTACCCTTTCATGCTGACTGGGAAGAGCTGTTCTCCTGAAAACAGCCCCCCTGAAGCCAGCACACTGGATCCCCGCCACACCGGCCCACGACCCACACCCACTGGGGTAGTAACGTCAGGTCAGCACTGTGGCTGCAAGGCCCCTCTTCTTGGAATTATTCTGACGGTCACCTCTGCCAGAGGACAGCATCAACTGCAAGGTGTAGGGCCAGAGAGGAAAGCCAATGGGCAAATGAGAAGAAAGCAACCAAAAAAACAAAAGCACCTCAATGACCCAACCCGGAACGAAGACCAAACATGAGGCATAAAGAATAGGAAAACTGACAGAGCCAGCAGCACGTGTTCTTGGCCCGCACTCTTGCTCTGCTATTTGCTCAAGTCTTAATGAGGCACAGGGAAGAGCCCATGCTGGGTTGGTGCGGCTTCGGCCTTTGCTGTCATTCTCTCCCCCAAGTCTCTTTCTGAACAAAACCACTGTGTAAAAGTGTAGACTCCTGTCAGTGCAGAACTGTTTAAATCACTTTTTTTCAATAATCCACACTAATACTTTAGACTGCTCATAAAAAACACCTAAAATTTTTCATTAATATACAGCTCCATGGGATCATTCAATTCCTCATATTTGAAGGAGGTATTATTCATCACCAACCCAGTTTGATGATAAATGTTTTTAATTCAGAATGGAGAATGTCTTTCCAGGAAAGGAGGTATCAATGTCAGGGGGCCATAAAAAGTGAAACACGTGATTGTACTCTTCTGAATTATATGGACATGTTCAGTAGCCATTCAGTCTGCAAGAATTGTTCTTTGAAGCATCACTGTAGATGCAATACCCACACTAAGGCCCACGCTGGGAAGGCACGAAATGCCACCCACATTTTAAGGGTGGTAGAGAGTATTCGTGTGACTGGTCCAAGTTCCCAAAGCTAGTAGGAGCTGGGATTGGATCGTTAGGTTGAATTTCCATACTGTTTTCTCTTGCTAAAGCAACAGAAACCCAATTTAAACTCTTTATTTTAGTTTTGAAAAGCAAACCATCAAAGGTTATTCAGGTAGAATGTACTACTGAATCCATGTCACATTCATCACATATGACATGTGTGTTGTGTGTGCTGATAGGGTAGGGGGTTTCCTGCTATCCTGGATATTTAGTACCAGAAAAGTATCACTTGTGACAAAACTGCTTAGAACAGAATTACACAGAGAGGAAGAGAATCAATTGATTGGAGTATCATCTTGAAGAAGAAATTCAGTAATCAAAACAAATTTAACCTAAACTTAACAAAAGGTAGGTTTTAATTAAAATGTGTACTAATTGAGAAAATAATGACTAAATTATTAATTTTTGGCATAGTTTCTCAACAACATAAAATGCAGCACCAAAAGATGTTCTTTAACTTCTGCTGTATAATTATAAATGGGTCATTTCTCAAAGATTTCACAATGATATTGGAGGAGTATATCAAATTTCCCAAGAGCACTCTGAGTCCTTAGAAATAAAAATACCTCTTGAAAAGAATGTTTTAAGTATCATGGCAGATTTTATTATCTTTGTCTATTTATTCCACTTTAGATACTTTGAATGATTCTGTTTTACAACCTCACAGATCAAAGCCTTGGGTTATGATTGCACAGATTATAAAGACCCTTAGAATATCCAACTTGAACTTTTAGATTAAAAATACCAAATGTTTTCATAAAGCTACTGGAAGAAAAACATGTAAAATGGTGTATTATTTATAAAAAACATTATTAAAACATTTTATTTACAGTATCTGAAGTAATTCATCAAAAGCATGTTGAAAACATTGCAACTGTTGAAGAAGTATACTTATAAATATGTAAGTTAAACTCAAAGCTATAAAACTCTATGGCTGATCGTCTCAATTCCATTGTAAATGGAAACATTTTTTTCAAAATCTAGCGTGATCAGAAAAATGGTGAAGTACAACATTAACCCCATATCACTCTAGATCCAGATATGCTAATGAAAACGCAGATAGGGCTGGGGGTACAGCTCAGTGGTAGAGTGCTTGCCTGGCATGCCCAGGACCCTGGCTCGATTCCCAGATCTGCAAGCATGGAAATGTAGACACAGGCCAGTCTGACATACCTACAGAGTCAGGGAGGACGCATGTTGGTGGAGAGTCCAGGGAACCCAAAGGGTGATTGATCCGAATCCACATTGTGTAGCCAGATAATAGAAATATTGGCTGGAAAATGCACTCGTAAAAGCCATCCCGCTGCAAATGGCAATCTTTCGGTGCTGATACGGGATAAATAGATGGGCTATCAGAACAATACAGGGTGCTCCTTAAAAGACACAAAAATACTCATAAGTCAACAACATCAAGAAAGCAATAAAAATATTTCAAACCTTGATTTCTTTTTTAAAAGAGTTTTGTTCCACCCAATAACAGATGTCATTACTAGAGTAGGATTCTTGAATTCCCAATCTTATGTCTTTCTGTAGAAATGGACTGTAACTCCTAGGAAATATTTCATTAGACACTAAATAAGGATGCAGATTAAATAAATGTTCTAAATTAAATAAATAAATGTTCTAATAAGGAGATAGCACTGTTAGAGATAGACACCCACTACTTTAAACTTATGCTAATATTATATACTGGAGATACAATTTTAAAAATAGGAATCAAAAGTAGTAATATGGGGGCTTCCTGGGATTGAAAGGAAACAAATTCCTCACATTTTAATATAGGAGATTAAATTTCACCACAAATTGAGAATGTAACTGACAATAAATTATAGCTTTGTTGCCAGTACCCTAATATTTTCATATAGCTAATATAATATCAATTCCTGATACATATACAAATCATGTACTAGATACAGTATCATTCTCATTTTCTCAGGAAAGAAAATTAAGCAAAACTATTTTGAGTCCAACCTACATTCCAGCTAGAACATGTGAAGCATTTCCCCCCTTTGAAACAAGTCTTCCATCGCTGTTTTCTCTGAATATAGCATGCAATGGTGAAAGTCACAGCTACTCTTTCCACAGGAATGGGAGGGAGGAAATGAGAAGAAAAGAAACTATACTCTCTCATTTCTTGTTTTTGTACATTTTTTTATTTCAAGATTACCTGTGTGGTGTGTGTGTGCACATGTGTGTGTGTGTGTGTGTGTGTGTGTACATGTGTGCTTGTGTTGGGGTAAGAAACGTGAATGGGAAAATGAAAATGAAGGACAAGAATCATGACTGGACAGAAAACAAGACTGGCAGAGAAGTATAAAAATTGTTTACGATCAATTGAATCCTTAGCAATGCTAGCGTCATGGCAGCCACTGTTATTTGTTGAATGTTTTCCAGAAGTTGTATCATTTAATTATAACTATGTGACCTATAGCATCAATGCTCATACAGATGCTGTGAGTCCTCCACGGCATTCTCTCCATTTTCCAGCCAAAGGCTAAGGAACTGGGTTATCTCAGCCGGTTCACGGTTACTCTGCATATGTCAGCCAGGCAAACCAGGCACGGACAGTTTACGTAACAGTCTCCTACAAACCCCTCCTTAGTGGGAAAACACTGAAGGAAGCATATAAAGATGGACGACAAAGTTTGTTTTAAATCCTTGATTTTTAGATCTTCACATGAGGGGAGATGTTATGGTTTATGTCTATGTGTTCCCCCAATGCCTCATGCGGACATGGGGCAGGCTTTTAGAGTTTGAATATGGGTGTGAGAGCTGCACCCGCCCTGGAGTGAATAGTTTGCATATGTAAGGAAGAGGAAAAAGGTGCTTGGGGCCATTCCTCCCCGATTCCGCCCTGGTGTGTGGTGTGTGCTTGCTGGTTTTTTTGCAGCGGTGTGCTGCTGCCCTGAGATGCAGCCCTCTGCAATGTGCCACTCTGCCTTATAATCTGCCAAGTACGGATTGAAACTTCCACGAACTTCCTTAACTTTGGGTGTCAGGTATTTTGTCCCAGCAGCAAGAGAAAAGTAACCAAGACAGGAGATAAAGGAAGCAACAGCTGCAGTATTTTTCTAACATTGTGCTAAGTAAGAGCAGACTCCTAGCCCTAGGAATGTCTGATTTAATGCTTAGATCTGAGATCTGTGTCTGAGGAAGGCAATGTATTTTTCAACTTAAAAGTTTAGATTTTAAGAACAAATGAGTGTGCCATACAGATCGCCAGTACAAATAAAAATAAGGCAGGGAGTAGTGCTTACAAGCCAAACACATTCTCGAAAACTGCTGAAGAATGTTTTAAAAATAAAAACATACCTGTCTTCTAATCAAGGATGATATCCTTTTAAACAATACACTTTAGAGAGACAAGAGCAGATGCTATGAGATGCCTTAAATATTTATAAAACAAAAAACAAATAAATAAGCACAGACATCTCCTCATTGGCACGCATTACTCTTTATTAAGTGCTTATTTCTTAAACACTCTCATCTAGTTTTAAAAATCATTCAACTTGTTTCTCTTAATCTTTTCATCTCTGTCTCTTTTAAAATATTAATCTTTAGCCAAAGCATTTAATATGTTTAATGCTTTCTAAATCCTCCACATTCAACTCTAGTCAACTCTCTAAGTCAAATTAAAATGTCTGCAAACCAACGTGCAAACCAACGTTTCATGTGTGTGATCCAAGAGTTAAAATGCAGTTATAGAACAGCAACTGGTTTTCAGAAAAGATAATTTAAAATAAAAATAAATTACAATTCTTAAAACCTCAGGTATGAATGTTTCTCAAGAATCGCCAATTTATTTAAACCCTGAAACATTTCCCAATTAATATTTTACCTTCTGCTTTCAGAAAGAAAATCTACAGGACACCTACTACGGCAATGTTTCTGAAGAAAGTGTGTTTCCCACCCCTCACACAGAGAGACTTCACAGCACAAGCGATTCGTACCTGTGATACCTCAGCTGCCAAGAGCTCCCCACAAGCGACTGCATTGGGTTCGCGGACCATCTGCAAGTCATTTTAGTTAAGTGCCCGTCCGTTTCACACGATATATTGATATTGACATCTATTTAAAACACATTAAAATATTAATATAAAGTTAAGGCACCGATAATTTTTAATGAAAAAAATTTCTTACATCTTTCATAGGCCTCTGAATACAGAGCCCATAATGAAAATTCAATTTGCATGGCAAAATGAACACAGCCTCGGAATTCTTACCAACCACATACAGCTCGGCATAGCGATGGTGGCACTGGTGTTCTTGGCAACAGTACACAGCGTCATAGGTGAACTCGTCTCGAGGTTTGGTGGCTTTCAGGTTGAGAAAAGTCACTTTGCTAACGTGGTCACTCACGACATCGTACTGGCTCGGAGGGATTTCCTCTGCTAAATTCACCCACCACACAATCTCTTTGGAGGAAACAATCGTGTTTCCGTTTTTATAGATGCAGTGAAAGGAAACATTGGACCCCGCGCTTGTCAGGACTTTAGGTGGGAAGTATATGACATCTGTAATGCGAGGAGAGAGAAGCAGGAGATCAGGTGGGGACAGCAAACATCGTGCAAGCAACCTGTCCCGCGCACAGAGATTCACAAGCATTCCAGGGCTACACCGCCAAAACAAAACAAGGGCTCTGAAAAACCGGGTGACTGTCACCGCCGTCGATGAACACTTACTGTCAAATAACTCCCCCTCTCCAGGGAATGGAGATGACCCAGGGTCACCTTTTAGCTGTCCTCTAAACACGTGGCTTATTCACCATAAGATACGTTTCCATCAGTATCTGTCACTCACTAACTGAGAGGCAGAAAATTAGCTAAAGTGAAATATAGTTTAGTTCCACAATGACATCCGAGCCTGCTTTAAGACTCAGTGAAACATGGGGTGAGTTCTTAGAACAAACCACTGCAAGACAAAAGTCCTGGCTAGAAGAGGGGCTGGGGCTGCTAATGTCTTGTTTGGCTGTGTGAAGATTTCAAATAAACAGGTAAAGTAGAAAAATGAGATAAAAATATGAAAAGGAGTTAGGGAATGTAGTGTGAGCAATGTACCAGTATAAAAAGCAGGGGAAATGCTAAATACTCATCTGCAATTTCCTTCTGAGTCATCTGATGCCAGTATCCTGTGATTGAGGACACGAGCAATCCGGAATTTCCTAAAACTTGATTTTTAATGCCTGTACAATGTTCCAAACTCTTTTGTCAGTCCCCTATAATTGGAAACTTAGCTTGCCTGTTACTATCAATGAGGAAGAGGAAAAAAGTAGTTCACACAGGAAGAGGTTATTTCTACTATAGCACAGTATGACGTATCAGTACATTTCAATTTAAAGCAAGCCATTGTCTTTTCATAAAATATCAGTATCTTTTCACACAGATGTCCTGAATTACCTCTAAAAACAAAACACATTTTTCTTTGGTTTTCATAAGTTTTCTCTATTCTGTAATAGCTTGTTAAACTTCAATGGCTGTATATTTACAATCCACACAAGACATTTTGGTTTTGTATGCCTATAATCAAATAGAAACAGGAAAACTCTTACTAGCAATTCTTCACCCACTTTCAACTTTATCATTAGATTGCCTCAAAAATCTCAGAATAATTCTTACTTTTCAAAGAAAAGTACAAATAAACTTTCATAAATTAAACTAAAGCTTTTAAAGATGACTCAAAAATTCAAAGCATTTTGCTTCAAAATGAAGTGCATCTATGAAGGCTGAATCAAGACATACAGTTAAAGTTATCATGTTTTGACATGATTAAATGCTTAAATATAAACTTGAAAATAAGTTAACAAAAATCTGACAACTTTAAAAACTTGCATTGAACAAATTTATTAAAATGTATGAGGTAACTTCTGAATGACTAATCTGAATAAAGATTATCCTCATGAAGATATTAAGCAACATTTAATGTGCAAAATGAAAACAATAATAATTTTCTTCTCATGACCAAGTAGCAATACCTTTGCAAGTTTACATGAATGAACTTTCTTTTTGTTCTTTTTTGCTTGTTTTTTTGTTTGTTTGTTTTTCTTCCAGTACCAGGAGTCGAACTCACAACCTTGCACTTGCCAGGCAGGTGCTTTTGCCACTGACCTAAATCCCCAGCCCCTACATGAGTGAACTTTATTAAAAGAGGAAAGTTAATACTGTTCACAAGTATTAACTACTCAAGAGTATGCAAATCGTGATTGAAATAGGGAAACTAGGACCTCGAGTAAGCCAGCCATGCGCTCCACTGCTGTGCTACAGACCCCCTCTGACTGTTTTATTCTCGGAAAAGATGTAGCTGTATTTCTTTAGCAGGGAGATGTTTTCTCTAACCCATAACAAGAGCGCCCACGTGCAAAATGTGGAAATCCCCTGATGTGAGTTTCTTTTCTTTGATAACAATTAAACTGCATTTAATAAAGATATTATAAGAACTCAGCACTTCAGATGTTTTCATTATGTAGCATAACTTAATTGCAATTTTACTGGTTTCCATCCGTTCTGGCAGAAGTCCTGTTTTTCAGAATCAATCTTCCCATTGCTTGAGACTTTGTTCAGCTCTTCTCATGATCTTACTTGTGCTGAGAAATTACACATGGTGTCAATCTCACTTGCTCCTCAGACTCGGAGATGCTGAACACACGGGTCGTGGATTTCTGATCTATGCTATTTAATATTTACTGGTGGTTGGCAAGAGTCAAGTGCTAGTTACTGCTGACTAGATAACACTTTCTAAGCAGTAAGTGATGGTAAATAAACTTGTTGTACTCAGTGGCTCGGGTATTTGCTTGGCATTTCACGTGGCATTTGCCATTTCCATCCAGTCGTAAGCAACCTGAGCACGTGAAAAAATGTCGAAGAATCGCTAATGTGCTCCTGCAATCACAGCATAGCCTGCAGCAGGGCAAGACTATTCCAAGACTTCTCAGCACATGAGGAAGTTGCCAGGAAACTGCGGCTTTTCTGATTAACCCTGACTTCAAGAACTGGGCATGTAGTCAGTGGTACAGTTCTCGCCTAGCGCTCCCGAGCCCTAAGTTCAATCCCAGCACCACAATCAATCAATCATTATTCAAAACTATAAAAAATTTGTATTGAAAATGTCAAATCCAAGCATAAACAGTAAAAAGATTTCATTCATTAAGTGTATTAAATATGAAAATAAAATTTTAACATTTAAAATATCAAATCAAGATACTTGGCTTTTGCCTACCAGTTAAAAGAATTACTAATACAATGGTGTTATGAACTTAGGGCTTTTATATTAACTTTTAATTTTTTAATAAAAAGTAATTCAACAAGATCATTGCTATGGAAGTGCACGAACATGGGAACTCCAGCACGATTTTAATTATCATATTAGGGCTGGGGATATAGCTTAGCGGCATAAGCACCTGCCTGGCAAGCACAAGGTCCTGAGTTCGATTCCCGGTACCAAAAAAAGTATTATGTCTTAATTATCATATTAATCTGTTTGAAATACAGATAAGAAGTTAAATTGTGTCTCCTCTTTGCTTTTAGAACCACAAAACTTAAGATGCTTAAAATAAACCAAACACAGATTCAGGAAGCGTATTTTTTCTTGGGGGAAATGGTCCCAAGACCCACCTTGTGTGGTAAAGACTCGAGGGGCGCTCCAGTCGCTCCAGACCCCCGGGCCATCCAGTCTCTTGACCCTCACCTGAGCCTCATAGGAGGAGCCAGGAAGCACATTATCCACCAGGAGAGCCGTAGCCGAGACCATCTCATCCACCTGTCAAGCATTGGTTTAAGACATCAGCGCCTTGAGGCAGTGTGGAACCTTTAAGTTGATCATGGGCAAGTCTCAGCAAATTTCAAAGAATTAGAATCTCACAGAGGAGTTATCTTATCACCTTGCAGTTAAAACAGAAATCTATGACCAAGCAGCAAAAGTCTACACACTAGTCATGGGTCCAAAGAAGGCATAATGGCAATTAGCATATATTGTTACTGAGGGATAAGTAAGGCACGACCTTCAGAATCTGGGTCATGCAGCTAAAGATGGTGGGAAGCCACCAGTCCCTGCTGCCACCTGTAACAGCCTTGGCAGAAAGCACAGCTCAGGGGCACAAGCGCCTGCCTGGCAAGCGCAAGGTCCTGAGTTCAATTCCTAGTACCTAAATAAATAAATGAACTTCTCAGAAAGCACTGTGTAGCACTGGAGAGAGAACAAGAAGAGTTCCTGGATGCCAGGGCCACAGAAGGAAGGAAGGAAGGAAGAAGGGAAGGCGGGAAGGAGGGAAGGAGGGAGGGAGGGAAGGAGGGAATGAGGGAAGGAGGGAAGGAGGGAAGGAGGGAATGAGGGAAGGAGGGAAGGAGGGAAGGAAGGAAGGAACTTAAGAACCTGGGCCTGATCACCAGCTATGGTGCATGAACCAAAATCCAGTGCACAAACCACAGGGAAACATCTGGAATGAAGAACCTCTAAGTCAGTAAGAACTGCATAGTGAAAATGCTGTTTTCCTGCAAAATTCTCCAAGTTATTAAACTCTCCAGTTTCAAGATTGGGGGTTGGGGGCTGACCACAGACTAAAACTAATGGAAAGCATCAGGAATACATGGGACAGCCTCAGGTGGCCCCTGCTGAAGAGCCTACTCCCTCCAGTGTGCAACTGAGAAAGCATTTTCCATACACAACCCAGGATGACCGACCTGCTCCTTGTGTAAGGGAAGCCTTAAAGAGTTAGCCCAGATCTAAAAATATCTCCGAATTACATAACACTTAGTCCCACAATGCAATGGGCCATAGTAGTCACATGAGCCAAGAAGCCCGTGCTGAGCTCTGCCTTTCCTCCCCAGGCAGCTGTCTGAGTTCTCCGCCTGCACTGCAGCCTTCTCCCTCCCCCCACCCCCAGCCACTCTGGCCTCTGCATTCAAGCCTCTCTGCTTCGAACCCAGCTCTCCCAGATGCCTACATGAGCACATCTTTGTTCAAGCGCCACCCTCTCCAAGTGGCCTGCCCCAGCCTCCACTCACTGTCACAATCCTCCACCCCATCAGCACTCCCACCCCATCACACACCCCTCTGCCACTGCCCCAAAACAACCTGATGTTCAGAGAGCAGCCTGGCACGAAACAGGTGCTCCATAAATACTGAATGATTCAAAGAAAACGACACACTCCACAGTGGAAATGCACACATGGCATGTCAGTCAATGTACTGAGCAATTAAACAAGAAAGCTGAAATATAAAATCAGTAGTCTGGAAATAAAATCAATTATGAGTTCAAAAAGTTTTTGTAACTATACTTCCCATAGCTATGTGTGTGTAAAATATCTCCCATATGCGATGCTCACAATAATTCCTTCTGGAGGAGTATGCTACTCAGCCTGCAGAGAACAATTTCTGTGGGGTGTAAGGAGAGTCTTCAGTTGCTTCTCAAATTTCGATCTCATTTGCTAAAGCATACTTACTTCTCTCAGAGCTGCTGTAGAATTCTCTGAATATTTCACCTGATACTGAAGTGGAAATGGTACCAGTGCTGGGCTGTGCCAAGAAATATTTAAATTACCATCCTCTGTGATTTCCATATGCAAATCCAATGGTGGATCAGGCTTCACTTAAGAAAAAAAGACAATACTTCTAAGTCAAACAATTTTCAATACAATCACATCCGAATAAAAACGAAGTCAACATGAATCTTCAGCTTCTCCTGCTTTCCAACTACTTACAAGGTAACTTTATTCACAGGCTAATTACAGAACCAAAACAAAGATCTAATATTGGGTCTGCTTTAGCAGATATCCATGTATCTTCATTTTCTTCCTCCTAAATGTTAATGACTATAAATCTGTGAATTAGATTACTTTAATCATTGTGATTTTCTGCTATAAAATCTGCTTGAAGCCAGGTGCGATGGTGCATGCCTGTAATCCCAGTTCTTGGGAGGCTGAGGCAGGAGGATTGCCATGAGTTCAAGGTAGCCTGGGCTACACAATGAGTTCAAGGCCACCCTGAACTACACAACGAGACCCCATCTCAAAACAAAACAAAACAAAAAATCTTCTTGATGTTATTTGTTTAAAAAGCCTATCAGATATTCACACTTACATTCCTGATTTGTTAAAGTTAATAAAAAGGATATATACAAACATATATTACAAATGAGAAACTTGTCCAAATGAAGGCAAAGAGATGCTGTGCCTTCTTTTTGCACATGTCTATACCTGCAAGGTTTCTGCAGCAGGCACTGCTCTTGCGCACAGAACCTATCATTATCTTGAAACATTTACTCATTTGAATTTTTTTTTAATAGGCAAAATGGCACGTGTCTCACTTTCTATAGCTTCAGGAATTTAGACCCAGATATTCTCTTTGCCTTTAGCCAACACTGATTAGGCCTCATCTTATATAATTACCACAAATGTAAATTACTTTAAAGCAGAGATAACTAAATACTAAACTCTGGAGACAACAAGGTAAACTTTATTATGTCCCCATGATCAAAAATACAATGAATCAAAGACACAAGAGCAAAGTGAAACCATAAAGCCGCACACTGTACACGGGGCGCTAACATTAGAAATGCACACGTGCGCTCTCCCTGGCCGCCGTGTCCCCAGCTCCACATCTACCCTTACCTGCGTCCTCCAGAGCTCCATCCTCGAGCAGCGGGGGCGTTTCTCGCTCCCAGCTCGGCGCCCCACACCCTAACCACCGCACTCTGGTGGGGCCCTCCTCCTCACCCCGCTGAACCGCTGTGCGCAGGCCGCCGTGCGCGGACACACTGCTGCTCCCAGTGGGCTCCGCGCTCGGGGCTGCGCGCCCACCGCTCTCCCCATGTGCCCAGCCCGGCGCCCTCCCACTCTTCCCTTCCGCGGACCACCCTTCAGGCTTTCTTTTCCTGAGCCCTGGCTGGGTCACGCTTACAACCCTATCCGGTAACAGCTTCCACGTCCCAGGCCCGCAGCCCTCAGACTCAGCCCACCGCCTAGGCCATGTGTCTGGGTTCGCAGAGGGAAGGCACCCCAGACAAGCACAGCCTCGCAGCCAGTCCTCTCCGGGTTCCCCATCTCAGCCCGCTGCACCAGCACGCCTCGCTGGGAAATCAGACTGGCTGTAAAATAAGAATTTAAGTGACAGCTGCAGAGATATTTATGTTACTGCTCACTCCCTCCAGCAGCTGCCCATGGCACACCCTTACACCATGGTCACCCTCACTCTCAGGGTTGGAGACAGTGACGAAAGCCAGAGAAAAACCTTTCACCAGGGAACAAACTGCAACCCGCACGCGTGTTGATGTCCAGGTTTCTTACGCTCTTAATGCACAACTTACCAACGTTTACGGGCTGAACCGACATGGGAGGGGACTGAAAAGTGACCCCTGCGGCTGTGATTTTCAAGTACATCAGCAGGGTGCTGCTGAGCTGGGCTGCTGGGGTCGGCACCCGGCACTCCCAGCGTCCCTCGAAACTGCAGTTGCACTGGACGATCTCAAAGCTGCCCTCCTGGGGGGCCAGGTGCGAATCTTCTACCACTTCAGAACTGTGTGGAGAGTAAGAGCTAAATGTTAACATGGGCGTGAGAGCAAGGGGGATGGGAGAACTACGATGGCACCCAGCCTAAAGGGCTTCTGAAAGAGACACACTCCATCAGCAAGACAACGGACTGCAGCAGGTGGAATGTCAGAAAGAGCGTAAGCAAGGACAGCGAAGCCATAAAAGGAAAGAAAAATTGCAATCCTAAACCCTAAACCCTAACCCCTACATCCGGTGAAAGTAGCTTTCAAAATAGTATGGCAGACACAACAGAAGTTAAAGAATTCGTCATCCCCAGATCTGCATTCTACAAAATGCCACAGGAAGTCACCTGATGAAAAAAAAAAAAAAAAACAGATGGGAATAGGGCTTCAAACAAAGAAATGAAATTTAACTAACTAATTATGTATTGATTATTTAAAGCAAAAATAACAGCCATGTATGGTGGAGTTTATAAGTCTAAGGTCTACAGCACTAGTACCAAGCTTGGGACAGGAGAAATGTATGTATATAGCTGTGATCATCTTACACTATAAATGAAGTAATATGATATCATTTAAGGGTATAATATCACAAGACTATATTAAGTCAGACACTATAGATCATAAAGCAACCACAAAAGTAATAAATCAAGAAGATACAGTTAATAAGCAACAAAGACTACATGGACTCATAAGAATTACTTAACCCGCCAGGCATGGTGGCCCACGCCTGTAATGCCAGCACTTGGGATGCTGAGGCAGGAGGATCGTTGCGAGTTTGAGGCCAGCCTGAGCTACAAAGTAAGCTCAAGGCCAGCCTGAACTACATAGCGAGACCCTGTCTCAAAAAGACAAAAAAAAAAAAAAAAATTACTTAACCCAAAAGAAGGAATAAAACAGGAACAATAAATAAATGAAACAAGAAAAAGAAAAAGATTAAATCTAAACATATCAATAGTCACATTACATGCAAATGGTCTAATATCTTATTTAAATGACAGTGATTATCAAACTGGATAGAAAAGCAAGACCCCATTATCAACTGCTTATAAGGAAAAAAATAAAGTTGGAAAGGCTATTTTAATATCAGGTAAAATGGATCTCACAGCAAAGAGTATTTATCAGAATAAAGAAAGTCATGTCATAATAAAAAAAAAGATTAATTCACTAGGAAGACATAATAACCCAAAACATGTATAAACTCAATAATAGAGTTTCAAAAATACAGAAAGCAAAATATTGATAGGATCACAGGAGAAAACAGACTAATCCATAAATATTGATGGAAATTTTCTCAATAATTAGCATGACAAGGAGACAAAAGTCATTAAAAATAAAAATTTGAGCACCGCCAACCAACTTGACCTAGCACATTTCATGAACACTCAACCAACAATAGCAGTTACACATGCTATTTATGAACACAAAATTACTGAGACCATACTCTGAGCCACAAAAAAGCTGCAGTAAATTTGAAGATTCAAGTCATACAAAAATGTAATTAATAAAGGAAATGAAGAACAGACAGGTATTTATAAGAACTTTTAACATTTGGAACTTAACATACTTCTAAATAACTCATGAGTCAAAGAATAAATTTTTTAAAATTATATTAGAACTTTTAAGTAAATAAAAATGAAATAAAAGAGATAAAAAGTTGTGAGGTATTGCTTAAAGCAATAATTTCAGGGAAATTTATAACACAAAAATGGGAACTAAATGTCTATAATAGAAAAGAAGTCTCAAAACAGTGATCTCAGGCTCCACTCAGCAAAAGGGGTGTGGGACAAATTAACGCTAAATAAACAAAAGATAAGAAGAGTAAACATCAGGTGAGAACACAGTAAAAGAGAAAGCAGAATACTGATGCACAAGAAACCTAAAAGGTGGTAGGAAGAGCAATAGAATTGAGGAGAATTGAGGACACTTGAGTCAGTCTGACAGAAAAAACTCCATAAGACACAAATTAACTATGTAGAAAGTGACGGAAGCAGTGTTATTACAAATTCTCCAGACATTAAAGAGATAGTAATAATATGAACAAATTTATGCCACCAGTTTATTTGGTAACTGATTAAACTATTTTAAAATACCATTTACAATAACATAGAAGTAGAAATATTTAGGGAGATAATTGATATAAGATGTTTAGGATTTGTACACTGAGAACCATAAAATATTGTTGATAGAAATTTTAAGACCAATTAAAGTGAGGGATATACTTTACTCCTCAGTTAGAAGACTCAGTATTATAAATATGTGGGTGCTCCTTATATTTCTCTGATTCAGTGCACTGCAAATCAAAATCCCACCAAACTTTGTTAAACAAGTGAGCAAGATCAAACTAAAGTCCACAGGGAGACACAAGAGATCCAGAACGGTCAAAACCACCCTGAAAATGAAGAACTTTCTTAAAGAACAGCAGTGCCGTAAGGCTCATTATAAAGCTACCATAATCAAGCAATGAAGTATTCACGTAAAAATAGGATAGAGAGTAATTATTATTAAACATTTTGCCATAGAAATCACAGATAACAAGCCTCCCCAAAAAAACATGCTAAACATTGTTAGTCATTCAAGAAACAAAGCAAGCCACACAGTGGCACATGCCTATAATCTTAGCACCAAAGGAGGCTGAGGCAGGGGGATCACAAGTTCTAGTCCCCCCAAGGCAATTTAGTGAAAGCGTGTCTCAAAATTTTAAAAGAAAACTTTTAATAAGAGATAGACTCCCCATGGGTTTGATCCTCAGCACCCCCACACCCACCCACACATAGTGAAAAACATAATAGCATAACACTGAGCTAACTATACCACATATTGATGAGGGAGTGGAGGAACCAGAACTCTAACAAATTGCTCATGGGAGTGGAAAATGACACTGCTTTGAAAATCTCTTTGGCAACTCCTGAAGTTATCATACACCTGCCCTGTGAATGTATCCATTCCACTCCCAGACAGTCATCCAAGAGAACCAAAAGGAGACGTCTGTTCAGAGACAGCCCAGCTTCATCTGTGATCTCCCAAACTATAAACAACCCAACTGACTGTCAGTAGGTGAGTACAGCACTGAAGTCACGGTCTATAGCCTACATTATGGAATACTACTTAGCAATGACAAGTATTGGCTACTGTCATATACACCATCCAAGAATCTCAAAACAACCTTGGTAAGCAAACCATGACAAAATACTGCATAAATGCATTTGTATACAATTCTAAAAAATGCAAAGTAATCTCTGGTGACAGAAATCAGATCAGTCATTCCTAAGGGTAGGGGGTGGATAGGAGCAAGAAGAAGTTCTGTGATTGATAATATACTCACTTTCTTTATTACAGTTTTATGCATGATTTCATATATAAAAACTAATCAAAATTTATACTTTAAATCAATAGTTTATTATAAATCAATTATATCTCAATGAAGCTATTTCCAAAGAAAGAAAGAAAAAAAGGAAGAAAGAAAGAAAGAAAGAAAGAAAGAAAGAAAGAAAGAAAGAAAGAAAGAAAGAAAGAGGGGCTGGGGATTTAGCTCAGTGGCAAAGCGCCTGCCTAGCAAGTGCAAGGTCATGAGTTCGGTTCCCGGTACCAGAGAAAAACCACAAAAAAAAAGAAAGAAAGAAAGAAAGAAAGAAAGAAAGAAAGAAAGAAAGAAAGAAAGAAAGAAAGAAAGGGCTTTTGTAAGCAATATTTGCCTATTATTGTAAACTTTGTGTGTGGTGGCACACACCTGCAATACCAGCACTTGTGAGGCTGAGGCAGGAGGATCACCATAAATTGGAGGCCAGCCTGGGCTACATACTGAGTTTAAGGCCAGCCTGAACTACAAATCAAGACTCTGTCTCAAAAAAGTAAGTAAATACATAAAAATAAGAATAATAGCATGCAACCAAGACACAGAAAGAGTTTGCTTCAATTGTGCTAGTTTCTCAGGGAGGCCCAGCCTCCATGTAAATGTGAGGGAGAGCTTAAGAGCAGGAGTAGCAGGTGCAGAATGGAGCCTCCTCTCCTCTCACCCAGCTGTTCTGTCTGTCCATAAACACCGCAGGCCACATGCAGCATTCAAACCACTCTAAAGAACTCTGGAAAAGGGAGGAGACAGTAAAGCTTAGCATAATCACTGCCTTCAGAAATACTGCAGTCCTTTTGGAGGGAAAGCATTGTAACTCATAAGGATAACTGCTAAAAGTTCGGTATGGAAAAACCATTGCTATAGAAACTGTACAAACTATCATGAACATCAGATATAAATAAAATGTGAAAAAGGGACCCTAACCTTACCACACACAGGCCACTTGTACTAAATATTTTGAATGACGATAGATTTTCAAGTTTCCTAATATTGAAGTTATTATTATTATACTAGCGCTAAAAAAATCAATCTGGCAAGAGTTATGAAGCTCTAATGTGCAAAGAAGTCTACTGGATACTTCAGAGGGGATAAATAGCATTGTAAAAAGCACGATCACTTCATAGTAAACCTAAAATCAAGTACTCTGTTTGCTTATTGGCCGTAAGGTTGAAAGGGAAGAACTGCACAAGAGAAATTGTTCTTTTAAATTTTTGTTCTTTTGAAACTGCTTAGCTCTGTAACTGCTTCACGCCTTTGCAAATATTTTCTTGACCCCTGTAGTCATGAGAGTGTAACCAAACATGCAGGATGTCTGATTGTAACTGATGAGCATTAATCTAGCCTTATAACTGATGAGCTCACCCTGCTAGCTAATTAGAAGAACTACCAAGCTGTTCTGTCTCACCTTTGTACCTCCTAAAAGCCCTGGGTGTGGTGGTGCACATCCAGAGATCAGGGCCTGATATTTTGGGAATGATCCCGATCAGTGCCTCCAAATCCTGAGTGAGCCTCTGTTTCCTTAATCTGTACAACCTAGACAATGCTATACTGTGTAACTTTACAAGGTTGTTGGGACTGTCAAAGAAAGTATTTACATAACAGCATTTTTGAAAAATTTGCTACACACCCACAAAGGTTTGCTTTAAAATGGAAGCAGAATGATTCAGTGTTTTC